GAGAAACATGGATAAAAGAGAAAGTTGCTTTTGAAATAAGAGGAGGAAACATAAGAAATAATTGCATAAAAACTTCTTTGGCTGTTTAAATTAAACACTTTTGTGCCTGAAGGTCTAAATGAATATACCGAGATCTTCCAGTTTCTGCAGTAATCACGTATTTCCTGCTATTACTGATAATGACTTTAAAATGACACACTTAAGCAGGGCTGTTATTTTATTTGCAGCCTTTCCGAGGCAGGAGCAGCAACCGAGCACGTGGGAAGGGGTAACACCGGGGGAGGAACACGATGACAGCTCCTCAGCGGAAACATACCTCAGCCTAGTGGGGAGCTAACGAGGGGTGGCACCGGGACCTCGGCGTGCCGCAACCAGGCAGCCTGGAACAGCAATTCCCAGACACATTACGTCCCATCCTGACACAGCCTATGAGCCTGTCACCTTCATGGCAGCTGATAAACCAAGGCTGAATTAGCAGCAAGTTTCTCTGAATTTCTCTAGTGCAAACCTAGCTCTGAATTTGGTAGCACATGGACCCGACCCAAAGCTCAACATTAAATCAGCTTAAGCCTTTCTGTTGGCTTCCAGGGGGTGAGTCATATCTTTATACAGGACCAGGTAGTTAAATGATACTTTGCCTGAAGTAACACGGGTGTTTCTCATTCTTTCCTTACCACCTTTTGTGTTAGCTAAAACAGTTTGCCAAACCTAGCCCACAATCAACAAGTGTTTTAGTTAATATCATTTTTTTTTTTGTGAATAAACTCTGTCCAGTTTTTTTGCCCATCTCTAGTTCCACACATCCTTCACATGGACACAAGGGCAAGAGGATGGCAGGAGAGGCCAGAAGAACATCTGCTGCGTGACAGCACAGGCAGATACCCCCATGAAGAGCCACCAGGGATCCAAGAGGGACAGGCTAAGCACATATGATTACAGGACTGGAAAATAAGGGAACAGGAGACAAGAGACCAGAGGCTCTTTAGGAAAGAATGTGGGTTTTTTTTGTTGTTCTGCCTCTCCAAGCACTCAACACAATCAAATACAACAGTAGTATCGGGGCAGAGCAAATGACGAATATTTCTCAGCTTCTTTCTGTTAACAGGACTCATAGCAATAAGGCTTAAATTGGCATTTGAAAACATTCCAGCAGGTACTCAGATCCCGCAGCAACGAATAGCTAAAATAATCTAGCAGCCTTGCAAAGATAGGAGTCCTCTTTTGAGGCTAGCATTTCATCTCATCCATTTGCCACGCCTTGCTACTTTCCCTGCCTTTTTTGGGGAGTGCGCTTTGTTGCCCACGTCTTCCATAGCTGACCACCAGCTTGCAGCTGCTTCTAGAGCCAGTCACTCCCAGAGCTGAACTCCAACCAAGGCACACGCACGACAGCTAACCAGCCCTGTCCACACCGCCAGGGCCAGGGAGCTAGCAGAGAGGTTACCGTGCCATCATTGCACCGGCTACGTTCAACACATTTGCAGAAGGAAACATAGTCTTCTACTTCCTACCCCTGATACAGAAGCAGCCATTCTCCAGATGGAGCCTTGCAAGATTTATTTCCAAGCGCCATGCTGTAGGGCTCAAAGATCTCCCGGGGTTCAGCGAATCAGGGCTACATGGGACAGAACAAGCAGCGCATTTTAAAGGTAACTGCTCAAAAAGACCACACTATCACTTCAATTGCAACAGCTCCAGAGTGAAAAATTACAAAAGGACAAAAAAAATTTACAAAAAAACGGTCTTTCGGCTGGATTCTGTCCATTTCACCCCTTTAATATTTCTACAGTGTACGTTTCAAAGGAAAAGTGAGCAAAAACCCCACTATTTGGAGCAGTTCTGATGATAAAATGCTACTAGATAGCCCGCTGGATAAACCATTAGAAAATAAAAATAGCAGTTCGCAAATGTCATGCCAAGCTTTCAAATGAGCCCGAAAATACACGTGCAGTTAAAGAAAAAAGATCTTTCCTTTAGCATGTAAAAACGTGTTTACTGTCAACAGACTACAAAAGCCAAGTGTTGCACCACAAAACGCTTCAAAATGAGGCATTTTATTCCCCCCCCCCCAACAGATGAGGTGAAACTGGTCTTTCAAACACTCACTTTTGCCTAGCTGTAGGTGTTCATATGAGTAGGCAGGAAAAAGAATTACCTTTTCAGGCAGCATTTTCCTGCCAATACTCACCGAAGAGAAGGAGAAGCACCTGAAGGCCAAATGCACGTAAGCGCACGTCCTGTGGGGATGCCACGGAGGGTTTAAGCTCTGCTGATTCCCAAGTAACAACAGACACCCAAGGGTTAGGCTATGCACTGCACGTCAATAATGCTCAGCAACATCACAATTTTAGCCAAATTGCCTTCATTTCCTGGAGCAGCACTGCAGAGGCAAGCACTTACAGAAGGCAAAGGCAGACACGCTTGGTGGACTCCTGTGCTTCTTGACTGCCCCGCTAGTTCAGGCCTCTGCTGTCGCTTCAGAGCTAGACACCATTGGGGGGCCTGATCCTGCACTAAGACAGCGGTGGAAGGAGGACTGTGCTGCCCTGAAAGGCTGTCGAACCGAGCTTTCGATCAGCTTTGTTTAAAAACAACAGTTATTACTGTCGGAGCTGTACGTTGATTTGAACCGCCCTATTCCTGTCTACACTTTTAAACACGAAAGCTGTTGTTAGAAACTGCGCTGAAGGCTGCCTCATCCTAATCTGCTGGGATGGTGCTGAAGCTTGCCCTAGGCTAGATTGACCTCAGCAGCCCAGTTCCATCATCGGGTCCCACTTCAATCTCCCGAACGGCTGCCTCAGTCCTGGCATTAGGGAAGAGAGCAGCAGGATGGAGTTGTATGGGCTGATGACTGGTGGCCCATTTTGTGCTGGGTTCAGAAACCTGGCATCATTCTGAGTCGCAGGGAAAATGGAAAATTCTGAAGTTCTTCCCAAAGCACAACTAACAACAGTTTGCTTTCTCATTTGTGTTATCACATACAGCACAAAAATCATGCAGAACAAGATGACATATCAATGCTATTTACAGCATCACTTCTACCAGCTCTTTTCCTCCCTTAATTTGCTGCAAAGCAGAACCAAAGTATCCTGCACGGGGCCTGCAGGCCACTGAAGCCAACCGGTGACTTGCACAGACACTTCAACAGAGTCCCGCTCCCGTTCAAACCAAGACAACGCAAACATTTCCCACGGCCATCCAGCCCAGCATTAATGATTTAAATTTACACTATGATAATGGTCCAAACAAAATCCACAAAACACCACACAGGACCTAGACTTTATTACTTTTACTTTCTTTTCTACAGTACTTTTAATCAGTTTGCTATTACAGAATGTCTTCTCTTGTAATGTCATGATAATTCAGAGAAAAAAAAAATAGTAATTCACCTAGGTATTCCTACTTTCTCTCTCCTGAACACTACACAATGTACTCAGTAATTATCGCTTTATCATCTGGAAAAGAGGGAGAAAAACCACACACCAGAAATAAAACCCCACACGTTTCCTATAGGTCACTTCATTTGGTGAAGGCAGCAGAAATAGCCGAGGGTGGTGAGGTAGCAGGTGCTGACGTACCAAGAGCGGTGGGGGAAAGGTTACTACAGATGCTGTTGTGAGGCTGTAAGACTGGATCTGCACTATATGGGAGATATGGAAACAAGGAAAAAATTTAATAAGAAGAATTTTTGTACTAGTTTTTGCTGTCTAAAGAAGACTATAATCATCCATCTGTCCAGAAATGTTATTAAGGATTACAGCAGAGGAAAAATTATAGGCAGAGAAGTGCAGCAAGAACTGTATTTGTTAGAATTTCTCTTGGGGCACGTAACCTACGTAAGCCCTGAAGAACAGAGAAACACCTTTCCCCTCCCCTCACTTTGAGGAAACGACGTTCAAGCTCTGCTGTGAGAAGAAAAAGTATTTAAATAAAGGACTGAACAGCTTATAAAGCCTTCTCTTTTAATAGTGATATATTATGATGACTTCTATTTACGTGGAAATAACGACGACGTAATCGACTGGATGCAAATTGAAGATTCCCCATCTTATTCTTTTTTCTATTGCCCACAGAACGTTTTTTTGTACAGGGTTGCAAGTGATTTGTCCTTTTAACTGCGGGACAGGGAACTGCCCCTCTAAATAGAGGGGGGCTCTTTCGAAACAAGTGCAAGCAATGGACAAAAAGCCCCGAACAGCTCAGGGAAGGCAAGTTCCAAAAGCACGTCAGCTCATCTCCTACAGGTGAACACCCCCCTACCCAGTCTGCCTTAATCCTGGCTGCAGGTGGATCCCTGAGGAAGCGGGACACATGAAGCATACAAACACAGCCGACGTGTTTGTGCCCACCTCCTCCAAAAGCTTCTGAATATGTCAACCAACCTCAACAAAATATAGTAGAGCAGCAGAGTTTCAATGACATTAAGTTTCCACAAGCTTCGTAAAAACAGGAGTCAAGGAGATGAGGAGGACCCTGCTAAGGTCACTCCCTGAGGAAAAAGCTACATTATGAACCAACCCCTATTTCTTACCAGCAGATCAACCCAACCTCAAGCTACAGAAGACTAGGTTTCTTTGGGTCCACTGCTGGTGGAAGCACTTGTACTAAATATAAGACTACCTACTAATTTCTCAGATAATAATCCTACTAGCGCACACCTATGTCACTATGTACATTCCACTGCTAGAACCGCACGCAACGTTTATGCAAGAACCACAGAAGACATGCTGCTTATGACCTTGGCGCTTGGCTATTAGTATATACTAAACATTGTCTTGCACTCTAGCTGGCAGCAGGTCCTCCTCTTAACCATCGTTGCCGAGGGAGTCTGCAATACCCATATGGTGCATGCATACAAGGAAAACAACAAACGTGTTTATTGACTTAAAAATTAGTAAGTACAAGGTTTTGGCAGTAAAGGTGATACCAATACAGATACCTGGAAGTAAGAAAGCCACCTGTAAGACCAAGTAGCTGGAAGCAACTTTCCTTCCTACCTGGTTCAGTGCAATTTCTGACGTACGGCTGCCCCCCATCCTCTGGGACGTCAGTCGTGTTCTCCTCATTTGCTTGCAGTAGCTGTCTCCCACTCCATTTGTCATTACTTTCCTCAGAATAACTCAGGGCATCATAACCTAAAGGAAAAGAGCAGTAGATACATGAGACTGCACAAGAAAGGCAACTCCTGATTCTGTTCCTGAATGCTTGAAGCAGCCAAAACATTTGCATTTCAAACCCGGTGTCCCTTGGGTGAGAAACAGCAGTGTTTGTAATCCCACTGGTAAGGTACAATGCCCTTAGCTCCACATCCCAGTTACTCCCAAAAACATCAGGAGTCAGGTTCATTCCTCCACAGCTTCAAAGGTTCATACTAGAAGACCATCTACGGTTTCACGAGAAGTTGTAAGCTTCAATCAGTTTAAAACTGGAGCACCATCCATTGTTTTGGTTTAAAAACAAAACCAAAACAAACAAAAAACCCGAAAACCCTCAACTTATTACTCCTGTAGGCATTTCACTGCTGTTAAGTACCAGCAAAACTCTGCTGAATTTTGCAGATGCTTCTACAACATTTAAGCCATTTCTGCTCAGGATTACAATTCAATTTGCTGCTGAATGAGGCCTCAGAAATACAGCGTGTGACAGAGAAGTTAGGTAGGCTTCTTTGTGAGTCAGTAACGTGCTACAGAGGTGTTAGGAAAGCTCTGCCCCAACAGAGCGCGAGGTCCCTCGGGGCCGCGAGGGCAGAGCTCGGCCGCCCGCGCTGCGTCAGGAAGCAGCAGTGGGGAGGCGGCGGCGGAGGCGTAGGAGCAATCGCCATTTTCAATTTTGTAATAAATGTCCGAATGGTTACTTTCGCCAAAGTGGTCAACAGGGATCCATTTCAATATCGCGTGCCCAAGTCTAATGACATCGGGGGAAAGGCTCCTGAAGGTGTTCACTGCGGGCCAGGCAGCAGCTCTTCAACGCATTAGGAAGCATTCATTTATAAACATGAAATCTACAGCTTCCTTCAGCTTCTGCTCGCAGAGCACAAAGCAACTGATGGAAACATCTTTACGAGAGTATAGCTGTATTCATTCTCAAAATGGTTCTTATTAAGCCCAACTGCGCTGTTACTCCCACCCAACACAATCTCACCGAAGCCAGAGCATGCCTCTGAGTCACTTCAGCAGCCCCCCCTGCTTCCAATCACTAAGAAACCTCTGCAAACATCAGGGGCATGTACTTCATCTAAGACTGAAAACAGGGATAAACCCCAGTCCAGCAGGAGTTAACCATTTTAGACCCGGGGGTCTGGGTGTACTCTTTACCATGCCCCGTCCTCCTCACGGGAAGCGTGCGCGCATTTACCGACTTCTCATTTTTCCAACACCAGCCATCTTGCTTTCGCTCACCAGTTTCTTTGCCACCGAGACCCAGACCCAATTGCAAAACAGCTGCACACTCTCAAACAAAAAGTTTCAGTGCTACACGATTACTGTTGAGAATACCAAGGAAACCCCCAAAACTCTGTTCCTAGGCCACCAAGTCAGTGAAACAAGAATCACCATCTGGAAGGCAAGAAAGTAGCAAAGACTACTTTTTCATTAAATAAGCAGACTGAAGTGGCTCATCTTCAACTCTAGCAAAGGATGAAAGTAGCCAGCACCAGGACTTTGCCACTGAGAAGCCACAAGGAACTGATAAGTGAATATTGAGAAGCGAGTGCAGGCAGTAATAGCTGGGCAAGAAACACACCGAAAAGTCGACTCACTGGGTACCAAAAGCAGTTTGCGTGTAATAAACGTGAAGGCACATGACACCAACCCCCGGCTCCCATCAGCAATACAGCACCTCAGCCTGCAGCTGTTCTACAGCTGCTTCACGACCCATGCCACGGACTGGCTCCAGCTGCACGCCTGCACGGCACGGGGTGGGTCCAGGTATGAGTACGCAGCAAGTAACCCTACAAAAGGTAACGCGTTACTTTGCCCCATTACTGCTGACTCTCTCCGTGCTTTGCTCCCCTCTTCGGCTTCGCCTTGGTGCTGGTAAACGAAACTTTATTTTAGCAATGTCAACAAAACCAGCTGGCTGATTTCCATGACATACATGGCACAATGCTGGTCAGCCTTGGACATGTCATGTCTGCCTAAGGAAAGCACGTGCTCATGTGTCAGTTCCGCGCATCCTATATAGTTTTTAGTTCACGGGAGGAAGAAAAAAACCTTTTGTTTTTTAAGCAGCCGAGGCATCCACTTCAAGCAGGCACACGCACCAAAGCAGCTATCTTGCAACAGAGACCTTGAGCCCATCTAAAAAAAACCCAACATTTGAGAGAGATTTCCACCCACCCACCCATCCATCTTCCTTCCAGCAAGCAGAACGCAGGCTCTCTCACCAGGCCTTTGCTACTCAAGATACTCCTCAAGTGCATATCACTGATGCTGTCCATGGCCTTCCTCCTCCACGTGCTCAGGCAGCGGCAGGGCCTGGCTGCCCTGCCTGCTGGGAAGAACGCGTTTGTCTGTCAAACGTCCAGGGCGTTTTGAGGCCACCAGGAAACACCAGGCTTTACTCCATGCACGCAGGGAAGGCACAGCCCTGGGGGTCTGTGCAGGGGCTGGAGTCTGCACTCAACGCTTGACACTTCAAAACCACCTTCAAACCTGAACTATTCCCAGTTTTGTCCAGCACTTCGGAAACAGATCGCAAGCAAAGAGCAGTGGAACAGAGATTCAAATCCTGGGGCAACGTCCCAGAGGGTGCTTAAGGGATGAAGTAAAAGGTTCTCTGCAGGTCCCAACCCTTTCGTTCGGTTTTCTGACCCATCCCATTAAGAGAGGAGGTCAGCCTGAGAGTTCTCGTCTTGCCCAGGTCAGAGTCTGCTCAGGGCAGCTCCCACGTCACGCCACCAGCAGGGAGGCAAAGCCTGGGAAGGGGCGGCCTGGAAACGTGCACCCAGGCCAATGGCAGTGGCTGGGACCAACGCTCCCCAGGCCGGCAGGAGTCGGCCCGCGTGCACGTTTGGGGGAAGAACCACGGCTGCGCGGGCAGCCTTAAGCACTCCTGTTTCCTAAGCAAAAAGTGTTTAACTTGGTAAACTCATTATCATCATTTGAAACTTCAAGCACTTCCTACTTGCTATGCTTTACAAACTTTAGAGAATGCTGTTTGCTATTTGTTTAGTCTGTAAGCACGGGTAAGAGCTTAGGCTGTGAGTTAAACATACACAAACATCACCTATAGAAGCGGACCCTGTTTCTCAGAAGGAACACATGCAACAAGGCAACATCAGGCATCTCCCATAATAATAAACATACTCCGGTAACCCGAGCTAAGCAGTCTCAATTCCACACACAAGCTGTTTTCAAAGCAGAGAGGCTCTTCTCCCAGCAGCTGATGCTCCGCTGTGCGTGGCCGCGCGGAGGAAAGGCACGAGGGAGAACCCGCGAGGACTGCAGCGGCCCAGAAGGTCCTGCAGAAACCTCGCCTGCTCCCTCCCCACCCACAACGCCTTCCTCGCTCAGACTGCAAGCTTTTCCAAGCGAGGGGTGGAGAAGAAGAAAGTCATTTGAGGTGACTTTGGAAGGGGAAAAGCTTAATTTGGCAATAAAAGTGTTTATAAAGGCTACATTCAGCGTTCACACAAATCAGCGTAAATAGCGGCAGAACTGGTCCACAGCTGAATTTGATGGGATGGCTGTGACTTACACCAGTAAAAGCTCGCCTCTAGTACCTCCAGGTCAGCTGTCCCCCGGCAGGACTCGCAACCCGCTGACCCCAAAAACCCTGCCTTCGGTATCTCCACTCTAAAACACATTTGGCCCAACACAGCAATAGAAAATACACGTTACAGATGAAAGGAGATGCTTTCTTCAAAGGTTTGGCCTTCCAAGGATTTCCCTGTGAAAACAGGGACACATCAAGATTTTAACCTTGCTAACAAGGACATTTTATGACAATTAAATGGGGTCCACGTTTCCCTGCTTGCCAGCACCGGCCTCCCCACGGTATGGCTGGAGGCAACTCGACATCTGCCGCACGGGCACCGGCTGCGCTCCTATCAGCCCCTGCAGAAAACAACTCAGAAACTTGGGTTCGTGTTTTGGCAGATTCGGCGAAAGAGGAACTGACTGTCAGCTGCGGTTTAACCCTTCACACGTGGCTGCCTATGAAACAGGGACCTTGCCCGTCCCGTTGGAGGCAGGAGGCACCACCATTTGGGCCTGGCAGCGTCTCTCCCTGCTTTAGGTGCTGGCATGAGGCACGACCACCACCAAGAAGCGCTTCAGCACCCAGCAGCAGGGACATCACCTCAGCTGTAGCATCCCGCCATGGCAGGGCTGCAGGCAGGGCATCCCACCACCACCACGGCCAGGTGGCCGGACCCTCTCTGGCTTCCACGGCCCCTTCCCACCTGAACTGGTGAGGTCCCACCTTGGGCTGCCACACCATCTGCAGCAGCAGCACCGGCACCACGGGCTCACTTGTGGGAAAGGCACAAGCATATTCTGATCTATAAATGTTGTACAATCACATCCCCAGGACAGTTTCAAAAAGGCAGATGCAACAATCACCAATTCTCTTTGAGAACAAATCTTTTGCAACATGTGCTTTTGGCTTCTCGTTTCGGACTGCATCTTGCAATTCTTTATTCGCCTGTTCTAAGGCAAAACTTAGGCTGACTTGAAGCTTCACATCAGCTGCTAAAGGCTGTGGGGCCTGAGCCCCTATGTCACTAAAAAAGGGTCCCATCCTTTGATTTCAATACACACTAAATCACAGCCAGGAAAATGTAGAACAAAATTCTGATATTCTGCAGAGGGGCTAGGAGAACAGCAAGGAATGAGCAAAACTCTGCTTTCCAAGGAAAAGTAGGAACGGTTACAAAAAAGCAAGCTACCAGTTTTCTTTCTGAAAATGCAGTTATTCAGAATTGGATGATTTTTAATGGGAAACATGTCAAAGACATTTTTTCATTTTCTCAGCAGAGATAAAGACTACTAAACAGCTTGCATTAACTACATTGTCATTTTGTTCAGGCCAGTATACAGATCAGACATTTTACTTATAAATGCTGTAGCTGCTGGCTTTATAATAAAATAATACTGTGACATCTTTAAAAACTTTGCTACAATAAAGAGTTTTTCCAAAGTTCTGTACCATAGCGTATTTCAAA